CTCCCAAACCACTACGATTTTGGGATGCACCTAGTAGCATGACATTTATTAGGAATTAAGACTTCCGAGTTCTGGTGCATTTGTGCGTGCAGGGGTTATTATGTTACCACTATGCGGTGTCTAGTTAATTTATCAGATAAGTGATTCTCTAGGAGCTGCGCACTGACGAGCTGCTGATCCGCGCGTCCACGGTCCACCATAGACTTTGCACGTAAACCTGACTCCCCTGACGCTCAAAATGCGTTTGGTGTGAGTGACTGAAGCAATAAGTAAGTCAATAAACTTTATTTAAATAGCCATTTTCATTGACACGAACATCAAAACGTGCGTTTTCTCTATAGGCTCCATGATCATTTTGAATGATTGTTTCAGTCACTCTAATTTTCTCACCTCTCCATCGGGCCATGCTTTTTCATTAAAAGCATACAGTAAAAAGTGCTGAAATCACCGTATTTCCTTAAGCTTCACATATCAAATATACATTTCACAAATCACACACTTGGTTTAAAACATCCTGCAATCAGTGTAGAATAATCTAGTCCAGGTTTGAAGTCTCTTTGTGTTTTAGTTTTTAAACTAGAGAGGATTAAAGATGCTCGAGGTAGTGAAAACAGGTGGAATCGCCCTTTAGCCATTCCTGAAAACTTCAGTGTTTTTCTCATAAATTAACAAGTTTTTTTCTTGTAAATTTCTGACTTTACCATTTCAGAAAATATATAATTTAAATGTTGCAAATTTCTGCCTTTAATTATGGGAATTTCTAAGTTTTTTTTCTCGCAAATTTGCGACTTTTCAAAATAAGAGAATTTCCTATTTTTTTTTCTCGAAAATTTCTGAAATTAATCTCAGAAAATTTGAGTTTTTTTTTCTTGGAGATTTGCTCCTCTTTTTTTTTTCTTCTGCAACATGGCCCTAATATGCCATTATACATCAGTTGATTTAACTGTCACATAGATGTCTTGATCTTACTGTAGATTTTTTTAATAATGATAAATAAGTTTGAGCTGTGTCATGATGTTTTTTTTCTCGTTGGTGATGATGGAGGCAGTTTACGCAGCGCAGTCTTCAAATATGACATCAAAAAACAAGAAAAAACTATGTGGGGTTCATTATTTATTGTAACTCTGGTTTTACATGACCTTTCAGCACAATTTAAAAACTGGTCTCAGGCGGTTGTGTATTTCCTGCTTCAGCGACTGAAACTCATGTAAAATATGCTGGAGCAGCAGCTGGTTTGATGGAAAATGGTCCTTTCAATCAGATTTATTTAATAAAACATTTATTTTATTGTTAATACTGGCAGTAAACAGTGGATTATTTGAAGCCAGGAAGATGTGTCCAGGACGGTCTCTGGTGGATCTGCGGCTGAGCTCTGGCTCAGAGCTGCGTCTTCTTGCCTTCGTGGTGTTTTTTATGGATCAGAACCTTCTTATTGATCAGTAACGTCACTACAATCAGTTCTGCTTTGTTCTTCGTTACTCGCAGATAAATCGTAGATATTTTCTAAATAACTGGAACTTTTCCCACTTAAATCGTCTTCACTCTGTAGTCCTTCTTCATGAATACTGTATGTCCTGCCTGTAGCGACTTCAATGACCTTGTCTCTGGCTTCGGCATTCTTCGGCAGTGTGCTCGGGTAGTTCCGTGACTGAGTGGTTTTATATATATATTTCTCTTCACATTTGCCTGCTCCAAATGTGAAAAAGCAGACAGCCTTCGTATTCTACAACAGTAATTACTCATCAAGGGCACTTGGGACTACTACGGTGGGTGTTGGACTTTAAAGTGTATTCAGAAAATGTCAGATCCGTCTCATCTTTGAAAGCATACAACAATGCCAATAAAGTTAAATCTGTTTGTATAAGTCAACAAAAAGGCAGGTAAAGGAACCAAAAAACTAAAGTTGAACCATGAATACAGGAAATAGCTATTTCTGATTATATGAATTTGCAAATGTACAAAAGTTCAATTTGACGATTTTTATCGAGATACACAAAAATCGCGTTAAGCCCCGCCCAGTTGTGACGTCATGTTGCACTTAAATGTTTAGAAGGAGCTTAATCTACTTAAAAACTGGCTTTAAGCCAATGCCCTCTTGTGTTTTGGGTCTGGTTGAGCTCCTGTTTGACCTTGTGTTTTTATCTTTATTTTTGTTAGTGTTTTAACACTTGCGCCCGTTCCCCACCCCCACCCCTCGGCGGGGTTCATAGGCCCGCCTCCCTGCTCTGTCCCCGGCAGCCTCCGCCTCTTTTTGCTGGTCTGTCATCCACACCGCTGTACTTGCAGCCATTTTACCGTGGAGCGTCGACGCAGCGGCAGCCCGAGGATGCCGAGACAGCGCCGTTGAAAGGTAAATACTCCTCTTTTGTCCGCGAAGCGGTCCTTTAATTCGCGTCGGTCACATTTCCCGGTCGGCGGCGGACGTGCCGGTCGGGCGGCCAGGCGAGCTGAGGCCCGCCTGGCCGGAGGGGCAGTGAGGCAGCCTCGGAAACCGCTCAGACAGAAGGGGAAGATCAGGAGAGTGTCGGAGCCACCTCAGGCCGGAGCTGCTGCCTCACAAGTCCGTGTGAAAGCCGCCTCTCTGCCGCCGACTCAAAGTTGTAAACGAGCTCCCCCCGCGGCGGCTTTGTGGGTAATGTGGGCTTTTATGTCCGGTTCTGGTAAAGTGCGCAGAAAAGCCGTGTTTATTAATTCGACCACGTACGTACAGGGGGCGCCCGCGAGCTGCTGGACGACGGCGCGCGCCTCATTGGCGTTTTTAGCTAGGTTATATTTATCATGGCTGACTCAGTGCTAGGATTTCTTTGTTCTTTTAACCCCATGAATACATTTTAAATGGGCTTTAACATTTTATTTAAAGAGTTTGTACACATTATTAGCTTCACTGGTAAGTGTGCTCTTGTGTTACACATGTTGGCTGTGTCCAAAACCCAGCCTACCCTGTCCAGGTGGGCCGGGTCCTTGGAAGACCGGAAAAAAGTGGCGGTGAATTTGGACAGTCTAGCCTCCCGTCCTTACCCCGGCGTACGTTTAGTTAACTAGCAGTCGTAACGACGCTAAACGGAGGCAAAATTTGATCAAAATATCAATATATTAGCATTATTAAAATCACAAAACAATAAAACAAACTTAAAGGTAACATTTAAAGAACCAATGGACCCACCATAGGTGCATGTTTATTTCGCGTTTTTTTTTCCTGACAAAAATAATATTAAAAACATGTCTATATGAATGACAAAACCATTAACACAACCACTTGAAAATTTTAATTATTATATCGCCAAATTTTTATTTAAAACATAATATTTTTCGCTCACTTCGTCCGCCATTACTAGCAGGAAAAAATACGCTGGTCGGTCCGCAATGCATTCTGGGATATGGTGGGCTGGGAAGGATCCATCGGACCAGTCCTTCAATTCAGGCCAAAGGAAGGACGCATTTGTTGGCGACATCGGAAGAATCTTTAGTTTTGGACGCCCTCCGTCGCGGCGCTGTGACATAAGCGGCCACGAATTCAGCCCTCAGAGGACCCGGCCCCACATTTTGGACACAGCTGTAGATGGTTTTCATCTACGTACTAATTCCGATGCTTTATGTTCAAGTTGTATCGGAACTCGAAATTCTGAAGCCAGACTGACGTCAGTTCCAGGTTGAAAGCGTCCAGTTTCAAACATCGAAAAAGCGTTTCTATTGTTTCTGCAACAATAACCTTACAAGAATGTGCTACGAGGCATTTTGAGTGTACAAACAGTGTAAAACATATATTTTAATAATCAAAATAAAACACTACAAATATGTCTGAATTAATGTAAAATAAACACAGAACTGCTAAAAAAACGTACAGAGTTTCATGCGCACGGCAGCCATGTTGAGATTATGATGTAACGCATGCTCATGTATGGTCTGGTTGCAACAACGTCTCGACTCGAAACTACGACTTCAGGGGTCGTTCCAGTTGGAAAATACAACTCGGACGTTCGAAACTGCGATCTCCGAGGACAACTGGAATGCAGCATTATTTTTTACTGGCCATGTCATGTTTGTGGACTAGCGTTTAGCTCATAGCTAGGAAATCAGTATGAAGGAATCGCAAAAGCTAGCTACAAAAATAATTTTTTTCAGGACTCACCATGCTGCCTTCTTAAATCATGACAGACAGACACACTCATGATAGACACACACACACACACACAAAGAAGCATTTTTAAAAAATCAAACCGGTGTTCTGACGATTTGTGCTAACCATCATTCTGTCCTACCTTGTGGCAATGTACATGCGTAGACTGATGTTACGTCACATGTTGGTTAAGCTAGGTTTATGCTCGGCGCGTCGAGGTGGGCGAGAGGGTGCGCACGCTATAGGTGATTCAGTATATGATGCGCAGGGGCGGGGACCGCCCTGCGCATTGGCCCTTTGCGGTGTCCTGTCGCGAGGTCGTACACCTCCAGATGTTTCAAACTCAGCAAGGACGGCGCGCGCTGTGGACTAGAGGTGGGCGATATGACCCAAATTTTATATCACGGTATTTTCAACAATTACCCCGGTTTCACGGTATTTTGACGGTATTTTTTTCCTCACAGCTCAGCTGATAATAAAATGTACAAACTTTGCTTACTGACTTTTTTTCTTTTACTGTCCCTCTGTATCACTCTTTCCCTCCTCTTGTACGTCTTTTCATCTTTGCCTGGTTGTAGACAGTAATCATGTATTTAGGTCCGATCGTGAAGGGTTGAGAAAAAAATCCTTATGGTCTATCTTTACGTGTTAATACCCACCAGTGTTAATACCCACCAGTCAACTCAGCTACACTACAAAACTACTTCCCCCGGGCTTTCACAATAGAAGCCTGCTAGAGTCTCAATGCAATAACATCTCCATTCTAACATAGCGCGCTAAATCTAACCGTGCATGACACTGAAGAGCTGTTTACTATTCAGCCATGGTGAAAACGGGATGGTTTTTTACACCAGACTATATAAGCGGCTGAAACACACCACCCGCCGCCAGTTGTTCCAACTATAACGTTAGCATGCTAAGCGCTTAGCGGTGCTGCAACAAAATGTGTCCCTAGGGAAACAGCTCACTGGCGGCCGTGACGAAACATTCTGCACGTGTTCAGGCTTTTTACACCGGTATTCAGAAAAGTCATAACAAAAATAAAAACCGGTTTTTGGTACACAACGGTATACCGCCCAGCAGTACTGTAGACATCAACAAACAAGATGGACGTGTGCAAGAAGATGTTAAAATCTTGGAAGGACCCTAAATTAAAGCTAAAGTTAGCATGGGAATTTGCATAAAAAACTTGTATTTAAACAGATCTGTACTACACTTCTTACGTGTTAATAAAAGGCAAGAGGTGGAAAGTCATTACTTTTATTTCATCTTTCTTGTTTTCATTCCAGCTTGTTATTGTAAAAAATAAATACTGTCCATATAAATTCTGCTTCCTAGATAGGGTGAATTTGGCAAAGTGCTTGTGCTTTTACTCCAATACATGTATACCCAAAAACATTAAAAAGGAATTTTGAAGTCCGTAAAATTCCACTGACAAATTGAGATTAAACACATCCAGATAGGTGGCAGCAGCATCAAATACTTCCAATGCAATGAACAAACTCACCATCTCCTTCTGCGTCGTTGTCTTAATAAAAGCAATAGATATATTTGTTGCTCTATTATATTACGTTCCTCTAAAACAGTTCTTCTCGTGACCGAGCCACCATCTTCTATTGTATGACGTCAAACATTTCTTCTTCCACACCCGTTTTTCATAACCGCTGGTTAGTGTACTTCCACCTTTTGGTCATAGAAGAAAAGTACTTTGATGTACGTCAACTATAATTTGAGAAGCCGCACGGCCGAATGTGCGCGCACTCCACGCCCACTTTGCGCGCGTTCCAAAGCGCGACTATAACTCAGCCTTAACGCAGCAGATTTCTTATCAATATGCACTACTTCTAGAAGTTTCATTTTAAGTTTCATTTTAAGTTAAGTTTTATTTGATTAAGCTGCTATGTTACTCAAACATATTAACATAAATAGCTCTTTTGCTGTTTACAACATTGTTACCATGTTGTAAACAGTAAATTAGCCCCGTTGTTTAGCGTTACTTATGAGTTTCTGATAGCTGGCTAGTGGACATATTTGTCAATGGCTTTAGTTTGATGTCTGAAATATTATTATACTGTAAACAACAAATGACTCTTTGTTTAGTGTCAACTATGTGTTAGCTTTTCATTTTAAACAGTTTGGATATTTTGAGGAAGGAAGTGATATTCTTGTAGTTTTAGAAAGGTTTGCGTTGTGTATATAAATTCAAAAAGAAAAATAAGTAGGTCCTCTAGGTGTTTTCTTTAGTGAAACGTTTCGTCTCTCCAAGAAACTTCTTCAGTCTGAGTTTCAGGTGAACTCAGCCTTATAAGCGCTGCCTCCACATGGTGGACAAGCAGGTTAGTCACATGCAAAAGAGTGCCATCGCCTAACAGTAGGCTTGATTAGCTCTATTGTTCATAGAGGGTCATGTGCCCCATCACCTGACTTATTGGTTTGGATTCTTTAGCTGTGGTTATTTGGTGTTTTGTTATGAGTATGTAGTGAATGCAAGTAGGGTTCAACATCCCCTTGTTTTTGTCTCTCCTTCTCTCTTTGTGTTTGTATCATTGGGGCCCTGATTCACACCTTTTGCTCACAGGGGGCGGAGTCATACTTACAATAACAGCGTTGTAGGAGGAGGACAACTGGACACGAAGGCCTCCACCTCTGTTTAATGGTGGATGGGTTTTTTTCACAAAAATGGCTTCCTTTACTCCTCTCAAACCAACGTTCCTCTCTATCAAGGATGAGAACATCTTCATCCCTGAAARAGTGACCGCTGGCCTGTAGATGAGTGTAAACTGCAGAGTCCTGACCTGTAGATGAGTGTAAACTGCAGAGTCCTGACCTGTAGATGAGTGTAAACTGCAGAGTCCTGACCTGTAGATGAGTGTAAACTGCAGAGTCCTGGCCTGTAGATGAGTGTAAACTGCAGAGTCCTGACCTGTAGATGAGTGTAAACTGCAGAGTCCTGACCTGTAGATGAGTGTAAACTGCAGAGTCCTGACCTGACGATGTAGCTCGTTTGTGCTGGCTCATTCTTTTGAACAGTTTTGTTTCCCCGATATATAACTGATCACAGTCCTCCTGACACTTAACAGCACATACTATATTACTCTGTTTTTACCGCCGGGGAACTGGATATTTGGGGTGAACTAATCTTTGTTTTAATGTGTTTTGGGGTTTGAAAGCCACTGGGGCTTCATGTTTAGAGAATAAACGTCCCAGTTTCTCTTCAACTCCTGCCATATATG